TTTACCCTATCTCGACACCCTGGCAGATCCAACTTTCCAACAAGATAATGCCCGACCACATGTTGCAAGAGTCACAATAAACTTCTTTCAACATAATGATGTCACATTGTTACCATTGCCACCAAGATCTCCCGACTCATCCTCAATTGAGCACGTGTGGGATATGATGGGTAGGAGATTGCTCAATTTGCAACGTCCTCCTCAGACTCTAGAAGCACTTCGAGAGGAGTTGGTGGTTGCCTGGAATGAGATACCACAGGAGGACATTGACCACCTGATCAGAAGCATGCCTAGGCGCGTTGGAGAATGCGTAGCACATCAGGGTGCATCCACACATTATAAAAGGTCGAAGGGCTTTAAAGCAGTGCAATCATTTTGAAATTTTTATCATTTACTTATTATGCTTCATTAAGTACTTATACAAAATTATATTAAAATGAAACCATTTAAACTGGGTGTTCGGATTGATATGTCACTTAGTATATCATTGCTAGAAGCTTTGCGAACACAGAAGCACACTCTTTCAATACAAAACTAGGAATTGCAGGCAGGGATACTAGTGATTATAAGTGAGTATTTATTAAGAAAACTGTAAGTATCTAGAAGAAATACGTATTTTTTTTTCTACAATCTCAGCGACAGTAAATTTTAATGATGATATCGTACGATTATTGCTTTATAATGGTAGGTTCAAATTGGTGTCATGATAAGACTGGAGCATCTATCATCGATCCTGTGCAAAAAAGTTAATAATATCGTAGGGAATTAAATTCTTTATCATTTGGCCTATATGAGAATTTGTTGTATAGTTAACAGGTTTCGAGACATTTTAAGGTAAAGATACGGATAGCGTAAGAAAACAAATATCCGTTTTTGTAGAAAATAGTATTTTCCACAAAAAAGGTTATTTACGTATTTCGACACCTTGATGGTTTTTTAAATATGAGGTGGGAAAGCCCCAAATTCTTATGCAAACAGTGGAGCTACGTACGTTGTCCACGTATCAGCCCGCAACAATTTTTTACATGGGGTTAACTCCATAAGTAATGATTTATGCTCAAGTATATCACTTTAGAGTGAATCCACTCTTTTATGCAACGAGTGAGTATGGAAAATGTAATATTTCATCATGAAAATGCAAGTCACTCGTTTCCATCAGTCTGTATACTGGCCTTTTTGTCACTGCGTAGCCTCAGCAGCCATTGCAACGACTATAATGGAAAGAGAGTTGTGCCATAAACCAGTTTTATCTACTGCATATCTTCCATTAAAATGACTGCAATGGCTGCTGGAATTACTCAGTTACATAATTGCCAATAAACAGACTGTTGGGAGTAACAAATTTCCCATACTAGCACGCGGTACCTAACAAATTGATTCACTTTAAAATGGTTTTCTTGATCATAGATAATGATTATGAAGTTATCTCCACGTGAAATAATATTGAATGACGATAAGTGATTGCCTTCGTATACTCCAAGAACCATAAAGTTGTTGAAAAAACGTACAGAACATTTTTTGTAGCAAATATTATTCTCTATAAAAAATGGTAGTTTCCTATGATTCCTAGTTTAGCCATTATAAACTGGAATATCATTACGTACACTTTTAGCCTTTAATTTCTCGTAATCTGATGACCATACGACAAACTTTTATAGAAGCAAAACGATGAAGAATTCAGTTTCCTGCTCTTGTTTATAATATACTAAGTGACATATACATCCGAACACCCAGTTTAAATGGTTTTATTTTTAATAAAAGTTGGTGAGTGTATTTATCTTACTGTAAATAACAAGTGAAAAAATTTTCAGCCTTATCAGTTGGACATTCCGCTTTTTATACTGCTTTTTTTTAATTCACTGACGCTCTAAAAATGAATACTTCAGCCGCAGTAAAGAATCAACGTTGGCGGATTTTGGTTCTTGACATCCTTTACGATCGGTTACGATGCCTAGAGTACGGAGACCTGTACGATTTCGTCAACTTAGTGAGTTTGATAGGGGCCGTATAGTGGGACTTCGGGAAGCTGGACTTTCTTTTCGGGCAATTGCAGTTAGAGTGCAAAGAAGTGTAGACACTGTGGTTAGGTGTTGTCAGGCATGGCTTCGAGAAGGTCGTACGCAAAGAGCAAGGGGCTCTGGACGCCGCCGTAGAACAACAGACCGTGAAGATCGCCGCCTAAGATTATTGGCCTTAAGGGACCGTTTCTCCACTACCAGGTCCATTGCAAATGAATGAAGGAGGAATCCACAGTTTTTTGTTGAAAGACATGTTCATCACACTGTTGGAGTTATGGTTTGGGGTGCTATAGCTTATGGTTCCAGGTCACCTTTAATCTTCATCAGAGGTAACATGAACGCGCAGCGTTATATCCACGAAGTTCTAGAACCCCATCTTTTACCCTATCTTGACACCCTGGAAGATCTAACTTTCCAACAAGATAATCCCCGACCACATGTTGCAAGAGTCACAATAGACTTCTTTCAACATAATGATGTCACATTGTTACCATGGCCAACAAGATCTCCCGACTTATCCCCAATTGAGCACGTGTGGGTTATGATGGGTAGCAGATTGCTCAATTTGCCACGTCCTCCTCAGACTCTAGAAGCACTTCGAGAGGAGTTGGTGGTTGCCTGGAATGAGATACCACAGGAGGACATTGACCACCTGATCAGAAGCATGCCTAGGCGCGTTGGAGAATGCGTAGTACATCAGGAAGCATCCAGACATTATTAAAGGTCAAAGGGCTTTAAAGCAGTGCAATCATTTTGAAATTTTTATCATTTACTTATTATGCTTCATTAAGTACTTATACAAAATTTTATTAAAATAAAACTATTTAAACTGGGTGTTCGGATTTATATGTCACTTAGTATACAATCACTTTTTAGGAGTTAGTTGAATATTTCAATAGATTCACCGAAAGATTCGACAGCCTCCGTCAAATTGCATTTCGATAAGGTCTAAGAGACCCTCAAATTTCAATGTTGGTGAGATCCACTATAAAATTGTGATTTTTTTACATAGGATCGATAGTTTTCAAGACTTTCGAGCAAATTCGTTTATCAAGATGGCGGCAAATGCCTTATCGTGATCCCAATTTGGACTCATAAAAAAATACTGTCAACTAAATTAGTAGGTCTTACCTATACAAAATCTCCCTTATTTTGACCTATACCGGGAAAACGTACATTTTCTAATTACTTTATTTATTTTTGTTGGACTGCGAGAATAGTATGACGGTTTCAAATCACTTATAATATATATCGATTTCTAATTATAAGTCTTATACAAACAAACCAAGCACTATGGAGCAGCTAAATAGCAATATTTACGAAAGTAATCAAAATATTATTTCCGAAGAGACAAAACATTGGATCTGTTCCATCATAGAGATATCAAAGTAACAGGTCCGCCAGTTATATATACTAAGTGACATATAAATCCGAACACCCAGTTTAAATGGTTTTATTTTAATAAAAATTGGTGAATGTATTTATCTTACTGTAAATAACAAGTGAAAACATTTTCAGCCTTATCAGTTGGACATTCCGGTTTTTATACTGCTTTTTTTTAATTCACCAGCGCTCTAAAAATGAATATTTCAGCCGCAGTAAAGAATCAACGTTGGCGGATTTTGCTTCTTGACATCCTTTACGATCGGTTACGATGCCTAGAGTACGGTGACCTGTACGATTTCGTCAACTTAGTGAGTTTGATAGGGGCCGTATAGTGGGACTTCGGGAAGCTGAACTTTCTTTTCGGGCAATTGCAGTTAGAGTGCAAAGGAGTGTAGACACTGTGGTTAGGTGTTGTCAGGCATGGCTTCGAGAAGGCCGTACGTAAAGAGCAAGGGGCACTGGACGCCGCCGTAGAACAACAGACCGTGAAGATCGCCGCCTAAGATTATTGGCCTTAAAGGACCGTTTCTCCACTACCAGGTCTATTGCAAATGAATGGTTTGCAGAACAAGGAAGACCTATTGGCATGCGAAGTGTTTACCGACGAATGAGAAGTTTTGGCTTGTATTCATACCGGCCACACTGGGTCCTCCCTTTAACTCGAGAACACCGACGTAATCGCCTTGAGTGGTGTAGACAACGGTCACTCTGGGATCAGGAATGGAACAGTATTGTCTTTAGTGACGAGTCTCGATTTTGTTTAGGCATGCACGATGGCCGCGCCAGGGTTATAAGGCGACGTGGTGAAAGGAGGAATCCACAGTTTTTTGTTGATAGACATGTTCATCACACTGTTGGAGTTATGGGTTCCAGGTCACCTTTAATCTTCATCAGAGGTAACATGAACGCGCAGCGTTATATCCACGAAGTTCTAGAACCCCATATTTTACCCTATCTTGACACCCTGGCAGATCCAGCTTTCCAACAAGATAATGCCCGACCACATGTTGCAAGAGTCACAATAGACTTCTTTCAACATAATGATGTCACATTGTTACCCTAGGCACCAAGATCTCCCGACTTATCCCCAATTGAGCACGTGTGGGATATGATGGGTAGGAGATTGCTCAATTTGCAACGTCCTCCTCAGACTCTAGAAGCACTTCGAGAGGAGTTGGTGGTTGCCTGGAATGAGATACCACAGGAGGACATTGACCACCTGATCAGAAGCATGCCTAGGCGCGTTGGAGAATGCGTAGCACATCAGGGTGCATCCACACATTATTAAAGGTCAAAGGGCTTTAAAGCAGTGCAATCATATTGAAATTTTTATCATTTACTTATTATGCTTCATTAAGTACTTATACAAAATTTTATTAAAATAAAACCATTTAAACTGGGTGTTCGGATTTATATGTCACTTAGCATATTTTTGCATTATTCGCAGTGGGGATTTTATTCAATAAAACGACCAAATGAATGCTGGATCGCTTAAATCCTACTGGAAGAGACAGGAATTGTTACTCTAACAAAAACGCTATGTTATGATGAACGTGACAATTGAAGTATACAATGTGGAAGTGTAATCATACTTACTTCGGATATCGTTGTTTCATAAGGCGTGTTGATGAACTTTGGTGCGTTGTCATTGACGTCAATCAGTCTTACGATTACTGGAATTGTCCTCTTCTTGTACGTGGACTTTATGGTGCATATTAACTGGAACAAACAAAACGTATAGTAGTAGAAGACGAATCCTGACAAACATCGGGAACAGTATTAAAAATACTCAACAGATATGCGATGAATTTGTACAATTCTTTAATGACATAGGCGAAAATTTAGCAAGTAATATACAAGCAAATGTACAAAATACTCAGCCTCCAAAAAGAACTTTGAACTGATTTATTTTGGATAAAGTCGAGCAATGTGAAGTATACACCACTGTTATGTCCTTAAAAAATCGGAAAAAGTGCTGGGTTCGATGGTATTAAAAGCGAGCATTTGAAAATTATAGCCGAGAACATAACAGAACCACTCACTTACCTAATCAACAAATGCTTTGAATCTGGCATATATCCCTCAATTTTAAAAAAGGTAATATAATACCGATACATAAATCAGGAACAAAAACAGATGTTAACAACTATAGACCAATATCAATAATATCCAGTGTAGCAAAGGTTTTTGATAAAGTTTTATCTACTAGAATGATTCGATACCTCACAAAATTCAAAATTTTAAGTGAAAATCAATATGGATTTACAGAAGGGAAGGCTGCATCGGACACAATAACTAAAATTGTAAATCAAATACATCAAAATACTGATAACAGAATCCCTTCAATCTGCATTTTTGTTGATTTAAAGAAAGCTTTCGACACAGTTAATCACAACTTATTATTAGAAGCATTGGAGAGAATTGGTTTCAGAGGAAACGCGTACTCACTGATCGAAAGTTATTTGTCAAATCGCCCACAATCTGTGCAGATATCAGGATCATTTAGTAAAGAAATGTATATTAAGTGTGGTGTCCCACAAGGAACTGTCTTAGGTCCACTGTTATTCAATATATATTTAAATGATATTTTCCAAATTAATTGTGTTGGCAAAATAACTAGTTTTGCAGATGATACTGCAATATTATATGAAGGCACTGACTGGTCTGATCTGAAAAATGTAATTGAAAATGATTTTATCAAAATTATTCGGTGGTTTAACAGTAGAAAATTAAGCATTAACTACTCTAAAACACATTTTTTACCATTTGGATCTTATGCTAGACATCTGCCAAATTACACAAATTTCGCCTTCAATATTAATGATCAAAAAATGCAAATTAATAGAGTGCCCAACATAAAATACCTTGGAGTGGTCTTGGATCATCACTTACGATGGGACATCCATGTCAATTATATTTTAAAGAAAGTTAGGTTTGTATCCTACAAAATTAAATACCTTGGGAATATATTGACAGAAAAATATCTTCAAACATTATACCATGCACTGATTGAGCCTCATCTCACATATGGTATATTAGCATGGGGAGCTGCATGTTCCTCACATATCTATAATTTAGATGTTTTTCAAAAAAGTATTCTAAAAATGATATTTAAAAAACCGAAACTTTATCCCACTGAAAAATTATACGCAGATGTTCGAATGTATGATATAAGACAGCTTTATTTCTTACACAGTATCACTCACTACCATAAATTTGTAAACACCGACCAAAAAATTAAACATAATCATTATACCAGGTACAAAATTCGTGGCACAGTAGTTCCTCAACCGCATAAATCTATAATGCAGCGATCATATCTCTATTTAGCGCCTAAATTTTATGAAATTATACCTAAAGACTTAAAAGATTTACGTTTCGGAAATTGTTTCAAAAGAAATTTAAAAAAGTGGCTGCATTCTATATCTAGGACTGAAATTCATAAACTCATAAATACGAACATCAACTAAATACATAATCTACTGTAGCTAATTTTTGTCCTTTTTTGTCATTTGCATTCTACAGTTTCAACTTAAATTTATTGGTCCATGTACAGGCGATGCCTTCTATTGGGCCTGTTTTGATTTTATATTTATTTACTCATATTTTTTGTTATCTTTGTATATTGAGTGAATAAATATTATTATTATTATTATTATTATTATATTATTCATGGCTGTAAAGGTCCGAGGCCAGGATTCGAAGTTACGAGCCTTCGTGTCAACGTGCTAGCAGTCCAACGCTCTAACGTATCACACTACCCAGCCCCAACGAAATGTAAGCATACACAAAATTTTAGACACCTTTCTGTATGTGAGACGTTTCGAGGACCGATAGCAATGCAATAATTTGATAACAGTTCTACATTATCTTTATTAGGAACGCCAGGATTGATAAATTCTTTTTTATTTCATTTCATTATAATTTTATTTTGAAGTCATTAATTTTGATTGATTGTTCGACCATCTAGCGCTGTGTTATGAACTCTTTGTAATTAAAAATTATTTTCTTAGTTTGGTTAGGTATAAAGGCGTGATTTTTAAACTATTATTTATTTGCCTCAACATAGAAAGATGATATGAAAAATAACGAAAGTTATAGACAAATGTCACTCTTGTCAGAGGTCGCCAAGGTTACTGGGCGAACAATTAACGCTGAATTTGCAGTGAATTTTAACTTGCTCATATACAGGGTGTTCGTTAATTATATGCGAATATTTAAGGGCGCGAATCTATGGTCCAAAAATGTTTCCTTACAAAAACTCGGGGTGCTGAAGTTTTAGGAAAAAAATGGAAATTAATTAATATTCTCACAATCGCTTCAGATATTTCACTGATATTTAGTACGTAGTCAAAGCTAATGAAGTTGCATATTTTTCAATGCAAAAATAATTTTTATCTTTAACAGTGGCGTGCGTACGGATATTGACTTCGATATTTTTTAAGAAAAAAATAATACGCCAATGTTTTTTTGCCAAACAAACATTATTTTTGAATTTCACGTTCAATTTAAAACAAATGATCTCTCTTGAATTGTTTTTCTTTGATGCGTCATTTTTGAGTAAAAAAGTAAAAGCCGTTCTATTGTCCGAGAAAATTAATGTAATAATTGAAGAACTCAATTTAGCAATAAATATCTAGTTGATCTGGAATATGTCACTGGCTTTTGACATCTGACAATTCTCTGTTTTTCATATCTGTTCGCTGTGATATCTTTTCCATTATTTAGTTTTTACAAACTTGTTAATAATGGTGAATTGTCCAAATGCAGAAATGGCGGATATCCATTACGTATATGGCCTTGCCGAGGGTAATGGTGAGCAAGCCAGATGGATGTATCACCAGAGATATCCCGATCGTTCTTTACCAGATCGTTGAACCTTTTCTAATATTCATCGTCGTCTTGTTGAAACTGGTTCTGTCCGAAAAGGAACATCTGAAGATAGACCTCTACGTGTGAGAACACCTGAAATTGAAGAAGCAGTGCAGCACGAAGCCGAAGAACATCCTGAAACGAGTACGATGAAGATCGCTAGACACTTAAATATTCGCCATCAAATTGTTTGGAGAATTTTAGTGGATTTTTTGCTATATCCTTACATAATACCAAACATGCTTATGAACGAAAACTCGTTACCTCCAAAAATAAGAAGAAGCTGTTTCGGTATCTAAGAACAAACCTGAATTCCAAAGTTTCATCACCTCACCTGTTCCTCCCCTGGTAAAGATGGGACGACGGCTGCTGTACTTAAAAACTGCGCTTCAGCACTGGCCCTACCATTAAGCTTGAAATTCACATCGTCTTTTAGATCTCATACCCTACCCTCATGCTGGCTTAGTGCTTCTGTTACTCCTGTATGCAAAAAGGGCGACAAATCCTCCGCTAAAACTTATCGACCAATAAGTCTCGTTCCTATCGCCGCCAAAATAGCTGAAAGAATCATATTAGATAAGCTCCTGTCATTTGCTTTCGAAAATGACCTTATCCCTAAGAATCAGCATGGATTTCTCCCTGGTCGATCAATAATGACCAACCTTCACCACTCTCTCAACGATTGGACTCAGTATCTGGACACAAAGACTCCTGTTGGTATAATCTACTTAGATTTTTCTAGGGCTTTCGATCGCGTACCACATAGAAGGCTTCTTTCTGTTTAAGTTGGAATCTATGGGAATAAGAGGCGAGTTGTTACTGTGGATCAAGGCTTTTCTCACCGGGAGGACTTTCTCTGTGCGCGTCAGTGATAGCCAGTCTCACCTTCATCATGTAGCAAGTGGAGTTCCTCAAGGCTCTGTCTTGGGGCCAGTGCTGTTCCTTCTGTATACAAGTGACCTGCCCACATTGATTTCCTCCACATGTTCAGCTTATGCCGACGACACCAAGATTTACAATACTGTCGTAAATTCTGCTATGCTTCAACGAGATCTTGATATTGTTTGTCAATGGTCAGTCAGTTGGCTTTTACCCTTAAATCTAACTAAGTGTTGTGTCCTTCACCTCGGGAAGACAAATCCGCGATTTACATACAAGATCTCTGACCACAACATCGAAGCAGTTTCCAGCCACACTGATCTGGGCGTTGTAATCAACGATCGTCTTTCCTGGTCAGAGCATATTCACCACGTTACATCAAAAGCCAAGAAACTTCTATACATGCTGGAGAGGTCTTTCAAAGGATCCGATAACACTTGCGCCTACATTTACAAGGCATTCGTGAGGCCAATTCTTGAATTCGCTGGCCCGGTATGGGACACTGTGCTTCTGCGCGATAGAAATCTCGTCGAATGAGTACAGCGTCGGGCTACTCGTATCCCTTTTGGAGCACGAAGACCAAGCTATGAAGATCGCCTTGAATTATTCAACCTGACCTCATTCTCTGAGCGAAGACTTCGTGGCGATCTTATAGTTACGTTCAGGATACTTCATGGTTTGATGGGCACCAACCTCATGCATCTATACTGTCTGTCGCGCAGCAATCTACGCGGACACAGCTTCAAACTGCATAAGGAGCCATTTAAAACAACAGTTCGACAGTGGTTTCTTCCCAACCGCATATTCAACACCTGGAATAGTTTACCTGAAAGTGTGGTTGGTGCTTCTTCAGTTAATAGCTTCAAAGTGCAGTATGATAGCTGGAGGAGTGTACAAACTTTATAGCTATGAACTGTCTTTTTTTATTTTTTTCTATTTGATGTATTTGTGTTACGTGTCCGTACACTATATTTACTGCATGAGCTTATAGTACTGTGTACTCTGCTCATCTCAGTTATCATAATAATAATAATATTTTAAGAGTACAGGCATTACTGCCCATTGATTTTCCAAGGTGTGTGGCCTTTTGTCAGTAGTATCTTCAAAAAGTTACACAAAATCCACAATTTGAATCAATGATTCTGTTCACGGACGAAGCTAATTTTTCTCGAAATGCCATTCAGAATTTCCACCATAATCATTTGTGGGCAGAAGAAAATCCCTATGTCCTAAGCGAAACCCATTTCCAACACCAATTTTCGGTTAACGTTTGGGCAGGAATTATTGGAAGCTACTTTATTGGCAAATTCTTCTTACCGAGACGACTTGACGGACAGACTTACCTCAATTTTCGTCAATAACAGTTGACTTTGCAGCTCGATGATGTTCCGTTAGTAATAAGAAACAATATGTGCATGATGGTGCACCAGCGCATTTCAGTGTAGCGGATCGTATTTATTTACAAACTGTTTATCCAAATCGTTGGATTGGCCGCGGCGGGCCCAAGAATGGCCACCAAGGTCCTCAGGCCTCAACAGTTTAGATTCCTTTTTATGGCGCTTTATTTTTATTAACTTTCACTACGTACTAGATATCAGTGAAATAGCTGAAGCGGTTCTGAAAATATTAATTAATTTCCATTTTTTGCCTGAAACTTCAACACCCCGAGTTTTTGTAAGGAAACACTTTTAGACCATAGTTTATAAAGCAAACTAACATTAATTTTTCATGTAGATTCATACTCTCAAATATTCGCATATCATTAAGAAACACCCTGTATATTGAGCTAAAACATCACTAACCTTTTCAAAGTAGATTTTAGTATTACATTAACCTTTTTCAGGTGGAATAAAAACATTTCGAACTTGTGTGCTATAAAATAAAGCTCAAACTTTCTTGTCATCGTTGCTTATGATTTTGATTTCTTTCCGCACTGACCTGACAACACTGCTATGTCATAATACCAAGCGCGACAGGTGCGTTATCGCTGACGTACGCAGTATGTTTTACGTTGCGGATAAGAAACCTTATATCTTCTGAAAGGTGTCCCTTACAACATAAGAAAAAACGCTATCGATGTGAAACTGGTACCCGATCGTATGACCAAATATGTATAGACGGCTTTCGTTGACTCACCAGGCCATGAATGAAATCGAACGGGAATTTAGTTTGAGGCTTCACTATTAGTGGCTGGTTATACTGCCAGTTTTATCGTTAAGTTTACGCATCAATTAGAGAATTCTTTTTAGGAAATCTTAATTTGGATGTTAATGTCTAGAAGAGATTCAAATCAAACGATAGAAAGGCCTTTTTGCCCTACTGAGCGGCGTCGTGGCAAACGCTTGTTCCGGAAGTTGTGATCAGTATAGAACTTTTTCCCGGTCAAGTGATTATACACGTGTTACATGCTTTTCTTGGCGGATTCGAAAATCCCACAGTACGCACCAATTAATCATCTTATCTTCCCAAATTTCGAGGTGTACTCCAATTTGAGAAAGAACGGGGGGTTGTGGCTTTTATTGCAGTAGCTTTTCCTGCTCCAAAGTCGTTTATTCGGAATCAGACCGAAAGGATATTCTGTGGCTTCGCCTCACATAGATAACATCCCCTGCCCTATATCCCTCGAACCATAAATGGAATGACCTGCTCGAATACCTCGCTGTCAAGATCGACTTCCTGAGCATCAATCATCCCGCTTCGAAGGTAATTCTCCTCAAAGAGTTGTTACCTAAGAGCTGACAAAGCTATTGACGACGCCTATTGGACAAGACGCTGCTTTTTATCTTGTTTCTTCAATCCAAGCTTAAGGGCAATGCGAGTAAAAAACAATTCTTCACAGCCACTGAAGTGTGACATTGCACCTATATCCCCTATCTATCGTATTACTCTTGCTGTGTTTTACGGTTGATATCTTCCATCTGTTTCGACACCTTTCGCTGCACGCACACCTTTAATTTCAGCTTCATTATCTGCAGTCATGGCAGAGTAAAAAGGCGGTAAGCATGTAGGCAGACGTAGTGTGAGTTATCGGCTAGATCTAGACCAATAATCTGTATGGCTCACGCCGAGCTGCGCGAGATAGAAGAGGTGCTTTGCCACTACTTCAAGGGCAATAAGCTTATATACTAAGTGACATATACATCCGAACACCCAGTTTAAATGGTTTTATTTTAATAAAAGTTGGTGAATGTATTTATCTTACTGTAAATAACAAGTGAAAAAATTTTCAGCCTTATCAGTTGGACATTCCGGTTTTTATACTGCTTTTTTTTTCACTAACGCTTTAAAAATGAATATTTCAGCCGCAGTAAAGAATCAACGTTGGCGGATTTTGGTTCTTGACATCCTTTACGATCGGTTAGGATGCCTAGAGTACGGAGACCTGTACGATTTCGTCAACTTAGTGAGTTTGATAGGGGCCGTATAGTGGGACTTCGGGAAGCTGGACTTTCTTTTTGGGCAATTGCAGTTAGAGTGCAAAGAAGTGTAGACACTGTGATTAGGTGTTGTCAGGCATGGCTTCGAGAAGGCCGTACGCAAAGAGCAAGGGGCACTGGACGCCGCCGTAGAATAACAGACCGTGAAGATCGCCGCCTAAGATTATTGGCCTTAAGGGACCGTTTCTCCACTACCAGGTCCATTGCAAATGAATGGTTTGCAGAACACGGAAGACCTATTGGCATGCGAAGTGTTTACCGACGAATGAGAAGTTTTGACTTGTTTTCATACCGGCCGCACTGGGTCCTCCCTTTAACTCGAGAACACCGTCGTAATCGCCTTGAGTGGCGCAGACAACGGTCACTCAGGGATCAGGAATGGAACAGTATTGTCTTTAGTGACGAGTCTCAATTTTGTTTAGGCATGCACGATGGTCGTGCCAGGGTTAGAAGGCGACGTGGTGAAAGGAGGAATCCACAGTTTTTTGTTGAAAGACATGTTCATCACACTGTTGGAGTTATGGTTTGGGGTGCTATAGCTTATGGTTCCAGGTCACCTTTAATCTTCATCAGAGGTAACATGAACGCGCAGCGTTATATCCACGAAGTTCTAGAACCCCATCTTTTACCCTATCTTGACACCCTGGCAGATCCAACTTTCCAACAAGACAATGCCCGACCACATGTTGCAAGAGTCACAATAGACTTCTTTCAACATAATGATGTCACATTGTTACCATGGCCACCAAGATCTCCCGACTTATCCCCAATTGAGCACGTGTGGGATATGATGGGTAGGAGATTGCTCAATTTGCAACGTCCTCCTCAGACTCTAGAAGCACTTCGAGAGGAGTTGGTGGTTGCCTGGAATGAGATACCACAGGAGGACATTGACCACCTGATCAGAAGCATGCCTAGGCGCGTTGGAGAATGCGTAGCACATCAGGGTGCATCCACACATTATTAAAGGTCAAAGGGCTTTAAAGCAGTGCAATCATTTTGAAATTTTTATCATTTACCTATTATGCTTCATTAAGTACTTATACAAAATTTTATTAAAATAAAACCATTTAAACTGGGTGTTCGGATTTATATGTCACTTAGTATATATTATTTTTATATTGGTAAATTTGGGTTTTGCTGAATAAATGTGGTAGAGTTCAGGGCGTACTCTTCTTTTCAACAACGATACGGAATCTATGATCATCAGGTTATCTCTTAATAATAAACACACCATTCTTTCATCCGACCAAAGACAGCCACCATGCACAGCTGTTTCGTGCTTTCGGCTACTCCTCAGAATGGCTTGGGTCTCTCGGACAACAAGCAAAAGCAACTACTGCGATTCACAGTTTCGCATTTAGACTATGTCTTACCTGGAACACAATATGTGATAAATTCTTCTCATCTCTATCGATGGGCGTCAGCAGCTGCAGCTTCTTCTCATTGAGAAAAAATAGGGGCACACCTTTCGGAAACGAAAGGTCTAGGAAAATGTCTACATTGGGCTCCCCGACTATTGGTAACTCTGGCGGAACCGTTTCTTGGCTGATTGCTGAAACAAAATACAGTACTGTCAATCGGATATTCAAAGCCACAAACATGTTCTCATATCACATTATGTGCTATTACAATTTTTGGCAATGACTTACGAATTCTCAGTGAGTATTTATCTCTTCAAATTTGAATTAATCACCAAAAACATCGGTACATGCACTTAATAACGTTGTGAGTGACAAATGTAAGCTTTTCAGGAGAGATATATCCAATTTTTTGCAACTTGAGACAATATTTTCAACATCTAATATACACAACTTATCCGATAAAATTTAACCACATATACACTGTTACGAAATAAGCTGATTTCTCGATAAAAAAATGTAATAAAAGTTCTACAGAAATTAAGTTATAAGCCTGAGTTTCAATAATAAATATCTGTATTTTGCGTTCATCGTCGTGGTATTAGAACACGTACGAGTGTTAATAATTTATTGTAGCAAATGTTGTTCCAAACAATCGATGGAAACAAAATACCAGGAATTTTTTATTTTTTGATTCTGATAAGAACGTGTAAATAAGGCTTAATCTGTATCGTGGGTGATCTGAACGAAGATCGGTCGACTTTTGTGACGTTAAAGAAGAAAGTATTTTAAGAGCTTATCTTTTTAATTATTTATTAATGAGAATGTGCCATGTGTACACTAATGAGGAGTTAGTGGATATTGTTTTAGCGTACGGAGAGGCAGGGCAAAATTCGCGAGCGGCTTCTCGTCTAAATCAGGTATTCCAGATACGCTGGATCGGAAGGGGTGGTCGAATGGCATGGCCTCCACGGTATCCCGATCTAAATCCTCTGGACTTCTTTTTATGGGGATACTTGAAAAACGAGGTATACCATACTCCAGTTCCAGAATATTGAAGAACTGCGTGACCGAATCACAGTGACTGCCGATAATTTGAGCCTTTAGGCACAGCAGGAAGGCGCCCAAGCTGTATTGCAGTCAATGGAAACAATTTTGAACAGCTTTTATAAGTGAACTGTTAAACTGTCTTATTTTATCATCTCGATTTCTGTAGGACTTTTATTACATTTTCTTTTGAGAAATCAACTTCTATCGTAACAGTGCATATGTGGTTAAATTTTTTCGGATAAGTCGTGAAACACCGTGTATACAGGGTGTGCAAATAGTGTGTCAAAGCTTAATCCCTTCGTTACTATTAGAGTTGCAGAAAAATATTAAGTACAAAAGTTGTAGGCAGGGCTAGGGGCTACAACCTATAACTATTTTTGGCTATACAGGATGTCCTATAAATTAGTGACAATATGTATACTTTATCTGAAGTCACCTCAAATAGCATAAAAACCTTTGGTCGGCGCGTCCTTTGTAATTTCATGACGTATCATAGGCGTGCGGTCATTTATTTAGAACGATAATAATAATGTTTTTACATCACAATAAATGGATTTTACTATTTTCTTATTTTTTTGATTTGGGATAAAAAATACTTATATTGGGAGTTTAATTTATGTTGACTGAAAGTTAAGAAATGGAAAAATTACAGAATTCCAACGTTTGACATAGGCAAATATTTACATAGCAGGTAGGTATATAAAAAGGTATATAAAGACTTACATTATAGGTATTTATATATCATCCTCGCCTTCGGAGCTGTCGCTAGAGTCATCTTGTAGAGGAATTACAACGAGATTTACAGGAGGCAAAACACAATATTCATTTTCTTTTTCAATAATATGCCTAGAACACTGCTTCCATAGGTCTGTGGCAGGTAGGTATATAAAAAGGTATATAAAGACTTACATTATAGGTATTTATATATCATCCTCGCCTTCGCAGCTGTCGCTAGAGTCATCTTGTAAAGGAATTACAACGGGATTTACAGGAGGCAAAACACAATATTCATTTTCTTTTTCAATAATATGCCTAGAACACTGCTTCCATAGGTCTGTGGCAGGTAGGTATATAAAAAAGTATATAAAGACTTACATTATAGGTATTTATATATCATCCTCGCCTTCGGAGCTGTCGCTAGAGTCATCTTGTAGAGGAATTACAACGGGATTTACAGGAGGCAAAACACAATATTCACTTTCTTTTTCAATAATATGCCTAGAACACTGCTTCCATAGGTCTGTGGCAGCAATATGAGATACTGCATCTCTTATTGTGGCCAATAGCGATTCACTTAATTGAGGGGTCTGATTATGTTTTCTTACTTTTTTTTTTAAAGCAGCCCAGACCAACTCAATCGGGTTAAAAATGCAGTAATAGGGAGGTAGACGTAATACTTCATGGCCATTCTGCTGAAGCAGATTGTCAACAACATACTCTTTTTCAAATTTTTGTCTTTTAATAAGATCCAATAATATGGCTTTGGTTGATTTTTGTGGTATTTCCATTCCCTTATCCTTCATAAAATCAATAATGTCTTGTTTTTTTGTGCCTGTATTCGGAATTTTGTTTTTCTGTCGGGAATGGTATGGCGCATTGTCCATAATAATCACTGAATTTGGGGAAATGTTTGGTATTAACTGCTGCTCTATCCACTTTTCAAATAAGTCGGAGGTCATGTCCTCATGATAGTCGGCACATGATTCTTTGATATTTTTGGCAGATAACAGCAAGGCGTTAGGTATAAATCCATTTTCACTGCCAGCATGGAGAATAATGATTCGTTTTCCACGGTTGCATGGTGCATTTAAAATGCACTTGTTGCTGTCGTCAACCCAGCCGTACTGCACAACATCATGGGTATCATACCACGTTTCATCCAGGTAAATCAGATTTCTTTTCTGGGCTCTATAGATTTTAACTTTGTGCAAAAATTCTTGGCGCAATTCAACGATTCGAGACGACTCCATAATCACCATTATTTTATCTAATTTTTTGTATTGAAAACCACACAGTTTTACAATACAGTGCAGTGAGTCTAAGCATTTGTAATTATAAAAATCTTCAGGATAATCTTTTAATTTATCCCGTATCATTTCCAACGTGGGCACCAAATTTTCTTTATAAAATCCGTATATTATACGACGAATATCTTCCTGAAAACCCACGTCTATTCTTTTTAATTTTTGCCCTATGCGTTTTCTGTGGAAGGAATGGTTGACTACATCTTCCCTTTTTATAACCCGATAAATGGTAGACCGACTGATTTTTGTCAGGATACAAATTCTGTTTAAAATTTGATTTTGCGAGGAATCTGGATTTTCGTTTTTCAGACAATCATACATATTTAGGATTACTCTTTGGGTCTGTCCCTCTAAATCTTTATGAAAGAATTCTGCCTGCACAGGTTCATCAACCATCTCCTCGTGGCTTGGAGCATTTTCCCAAGGTCTCCAAAGAGCCATATTTAGGACACACAAGAACAATCAACACAACAATTAAATCAACAAGTAAACTGAGTATTCAAAAGTCAAAAACACACAAACTAATTAAATCTATGAAAAAACACGGACAGACTAAAGAAAACACGTTTATTCACCGCTACACGGCACTGGCTAAACTGTTTCAATTTTCAGTAGCCACCTGCACTTGTTCGGAGCTCTGAAATACACGCTTTCTCATTGGCTATGTCCACGCATAGGCGTGCTTTACTCCACGTGGACCGGTGAAACTGCCATTGATCTTATACGGGGGATATTTGCTGCGAAATTTGGCGATTTTTGCAGCAAGAGAGCGTGTTAAATATAGATATATAAAACGCACCCGGTATTTCACAGTGTTTCAAGTGACTTCAGATAAAGTATACTTTTATTTTTTTAAATGGGACACCCTGTATTTTTGTTGATTTTTAGAAGCGCCTTTTCTTGGCCATTCTGTCAGTGTGTAGTTTCTGGGGTTTGTACTTTGTATTTTTCGTTAAAATCATTATACGTTTATACATTAAAATCTGTTTTATTATACTGAGCGATTGACACAGTGGTAGGTAGTAATATCCAACGTTTTATCTATACATATTCCATGCGAGACATACAGGGTGAGTCAAAACAGAGAGAGAGGTAATTTGCTCGAAAATTTTAAATCAAATACCCTGTATGTTATAACCCTATTCAACGCAACTCTTAGTGATTTTCCAGTTTTATTGAGCATTGTCTATAACAAAATCTAGTATTTTCTGACACATTCCAGGTTTTAGATATGAAAACCATAATTTTGGAATTACTAGGAAAATATCCGTCAGTCAAGCTACTAATAAAATAAAAAATGCCTAATAATTAAAATATGTCGCTGAGTGGTTAAGAAAATGTAATTAAATACATACAACGGCTACTATCACAAAAAAACACTATACTGTTATACTCTGCTAAAGGTCATTAATAATTAAAAAGAGCAACAACTCTATAACTAGAATAATAATGATAATTAACTAAAACTATTTATCTATTTAATTATTTTAGGGTGTAGCCCTTAGTTCTGCCTGCAACTTTTCTATTTAACATTTTTCTGCAACACTAATGGTAACACACTATTTGGACACCCTGTATATTATGGATACATTATATATGACACTGAAAAGGTTACCGAAAAGTTACAATAACGCTGTTGCCTGGAAGTGCTTTTGATTTTTTATTTTCCAAGACACATTTTGTAGCAAAAATTCATAAGCTAATTTTGTCCAGTGACATACAATAAAACAGTTTATATTTTTTTCTCGAAAACGAAGTGAGATACGAAAAAAAAATACAAGAGGCAAAGATTCTTAGATGCTAAATGAAACAACAAATATTAAAGTTACAAAAAAAGGCAGTGGCGTACATTTATTTGCCGATAATGTTCGCTAAGGTTCCCGCCGAGACGTCACTGGACCTAACGACTTTGATCTATTCAGGGCTGAATTAATACAGCATATTGCCAAATTTCAACAGAGAGAATCGTGTATACAGGGTGTCCCAGAAGTCAACGTCAAGCCGAAATCGGGTGATAGGCAAAGTCATAACAGCTATCAGAAAAATTTTAAAAAAAATGTTATGTATGTGTTTTGAAAATTATAGGTCTTTGAAAAAGACCCAACGGCAGTCTGTCAACT